TCGTTCCCAGGGCTTTTCCCTTTTTGTGGACGTCAGCACTTTTATTTTCAAGACACTGTAATATTCCCCGATAATCACCTCGCCTTCAGCGAATAATTGCTGCCGAGCCTCAGCTCGGCAGCACACTATTCTTAAAATGCGTTAAACTTTTAAATTTTGCGGCGCGCAAGCTATTTTTAATGCTGCTAAAATGACACCCTACCCCCGCTTTGGAAAATTTGTTTTTTACGAAAAATTGTTGTTTATTCTGCACTAAAAGTACCCAAACCATCTATATTTATCAAAGGTTTCATGAAATGAACGGATTTGTGAAATTGAGAGCCGTTTCAAATTGTCCGTGACTGTTTTTTATACATGTTACATTGTTACACCCTGCAGTGTAAACGAGTTTAAAATTAAAAGAACCTGCTTGAACGGTTTTAGCAGCATGTCCTGTTGTGTATTTTTCTTTTCTTTATTTGAACACGAACTTGGAAAATCGTAGTTTATAAACTTGCGAGTTGTGCCGCCATTTTGTTTATTTATGTACGTATACCGTGTCTGGGCGGGCAACAATTTTTCACTTGTCCGACGGGATACATTGGTAACATTGCATTTATCTAAAGCCACATGACAAAAATCAGCCATTCATGTTTGGTGTTGACCTCAGCTATGTAACAACACTTATGAATTCATATATCTTGTCCAGATCGAGATGCTAGACAACATTAAATTTTAACGTTTATCCAACAAGAGTTGCTCATATCTATTACGACGACGCAAAATAATATAATGACATTACAGTAGTTTGTGCAGAGCGGTACACTTGGAAGTGTTGAAATCATTGGAAGCTGAACTGATCATGTGCTTGAAGAGATTTATTGCACGACGTGGGAAACCAAAGTTGATCTATTCGGACAATGGATCAACATTCAAAGCGACAGACAAATGGTTGAAACACCTACAACGTGACGAACGTTTAAATGATTTAATTTAAGTCGGGCAGCCTGGTGGGACGGACAGTTTGAGAGTTTGATAGGACTTTTCAAACGCTCGTTTCATAAGACCATATTGGTAGCGGCACACTTAGTGGCGTTCGGAGAGCTAGAGGAAGTAGTACTTGACATCGAGATCGCGCTGAACGTTGAGCTACCAGTGTTGACACCTTACTCCCTCTTGCACACCAACCCGAGTTATTCACCTGAGTTGAAACACCACCACATTGACGACCAAGAATTACGGCGGGAAAAGAGCAAAATTCCTAAAGCGGTGCAAGGAATCCATGTGGAGACGTTGGAGTAAAGAGAACGTTCGTGGGTTGCGAGAACAACATCGAAGAAAACTAGTCATCAACAAAGAGCAATATCCACCAGTTGCAGACGCGGTGATTGTCCATGACGGGGATGAAAAGAATCAGAATAAATAGAAGCTCGCGATCGTAGCGGAACTCATCAAAGGATGCTAGAGACGGCACTGTTAGAGCAGTTTGACTCAGGACGTCGAAGGGACAATTGGAGAGACCAATACAGCATTTATATCCGTTAGAACTAGCGTGTAACAAAGCTCAACGGGAATCCTCGTTGAATCCAGCCGTAGCGAATTTCCAGCCAAAAAGCAAGAGAACCGCCGCAGCGGTTAACTCAAGTCCTGAACTAATTACTTCATGATAACGTAAAGTTGGTTTAAATTGAGTTCAGGTTTAGTTAATTTAAGTTATAATCATATTAATATAATATAATCAATATATACTCATTTTCTCTGAATGCCCTAAAGAAACGATCTTGAACTTTGTTTGCACTAGCATGTACACCTCTTCGAGCATGTACATGGGCAGACTAGTCCCAAGTCCTCTGTGCACGCTTTTGATTTCCGTGACGTCACAGGAGCCGTCACCTCATTAATACGCAGAAACGCGAAATAGGCGTACTAAGAGGCCTAGGGACTAGGCTGGTACGTGGGGGAGTGTGTCAGGGACTGGAGACTATAGACATATTAGGAATAATTAGTGTGACGTCACAGCCACGTGGGAAGTGAGAAAATTTCGTAGTGAGTGTGCATGAATAGTTAGAGTGAATGTGATATAGCCCGAGCGCTAGTGAAATATACCGCTTTGTGTAGTTTCTGACGTCGGGGAGCTACTATTCAACGGAGGCGAAATTCTCGACACTCCAACTCGGAGGGACGTTGGATATAGAGCAAACGAAACACAAGTTAAGGAAAATTGAGTGAGAAACAGGAATAATGAATAATGTGACACAAACATGAACAACTATACAGTAAAAAACCCAACACAACAACAGTCAATTAACGCTGAACTAAATTCAGACTGTTCACTGATAATAAATATCAAGATTTTGTTGGCATCTTACTCGATTGAATAATATTTAATGGTTTTGTAGATGGATATTGTCGACTGTGGAAATTTATATACATTGATTAGACCTAACCTGAGGAACAGCTGTGAAAAATGCATCTTTAGGTCCGTCTAACCACTTTAGTGGTTAGGGGTTAGGGTTAGGATTGCTCAGGTATATACCTAGCATGGGTACTACCCGCATTCTAAAATTTAGAATATTGGTTAAGTACCCATTTAGAAGTAGCGAAACGGTTGCGATTTATGCACGTGCAGTGTCGAGGGCAGCTTAGCCTGAGTCATTTTCCCGCCCGCCAGTCCTCCCCAGAAAACCGGCTGCTACGCCGGCTTTCTTGCAGAAAAAATAATATAATGAATATATATTGTATATATACTTATTTTTACCATAGGCATAGGTGCATGTAGTATTGTAATTTCGTTCTCCTTTTGTATTTTACCATAGAAGAGCCACTTGTGTGGAATGCTAATAAACCGTTATTATTATTATTATTTTATTATTATTATTACTAAGTCATGCCATATTGGCGTTTACATTTCTATATTTAAAATTAACTAAACATTAATAAGAATGATGGCAAGGGAAATAAAAATTTCTTGTCAAGTCTCTCAACAAAGATGACATTTTACAACAATATACAGAAACATTAGAGACCGGATATTATTTTTTACAGGGGCGCCTAAAAGAAACGTTAACAAGGAAATATTTTTTTCACAAAGGCTGTCAAAGCCTTGGAAACTATTCAACCCATATCTAATAACGACGTGATCGCAATGCATGACGTACATCACGGAACTTGATACTTCGCAAAAATATTGTAACACAAGTATTTGCTTCGTCTTCATTAAAATATGAAAGTTCAAATTTTATTTGTTCTTGCCCTTTTCGCCGTTTTCTACGGACAAACGCAAGTACAAGGCTGCTATTCAGACAGCGACTGCTTCTCTAGCTTTGAAAAGTGTTGTAAACCGAGATGGAGCAGCAATGAATGCGCTTATAGCTGTGCGGGAAAGTCCTGTAATTCCAACACTGACTGTGGATCGGAATACTGCTGCAATAACGTCTGTCGTGGAAGCTGTTCAGGATATTCTTGCATTCTTGATTCGGACTGTGGTGGTTACAATGAATACTGTTGTAACTATACTTGTAAGACAGGAACCTGTGGTTTGGCTTCTTGGATTGTCGCTGTAATAGTGCTTTGCATTCTTGGTGGTGTGGCAACGATTGTTGGCATTGTGTTGTGTGTGTACTGTTCGAACCGACGTAGATCGCCTGGCTTGGTAGTTACTGCAGTCCCAGTTGCGACAGTGCCAACAACTAGTATGTCTATGGTTGCTAGTTTAAGTCATGATAACTATGTTCAAGGACCACCACCAGTCTATCAAGACTATCAACCGCCACCAGTCTATCAACCGCCACAGCCATGAGCCATTGAAGTAAGATATCACAATTCTGTAGGCCTATACTATAAATATAATTTTTGTATATATTTTTATATACATTATATTTTCGACTGTAAAATATTATACAGTTATAGGATGAGGCTATTATGTTATCCGTAATTATCAAGGTCGAGGAATAAATTGTTTTATGAAGTAACTTTCAGTTGCATTTTTCGCTACTGCCCAGGAGTCAGGAGCAGTTTATATATAGGTCTATTAAATAAATGTACAAATTTCACGCTCGAACTCCCATCTAGAACTAGTTTTATTCTTAAGCTGCCGCTTGTTACAAAATTACAAATTACATAGGTTGACCACCTATAGATAACAGTATACGCGATCCGCTCTACACTACAGAGTACATTTTCAGTTCGTATTCAGATTTGAATCTGGTCACAAGTGTCGTGTACAAAATGTGGAATTACTCAGCCCTCTTTTCATGGAATAAACCTGATCATACAGGACATCCATCTTCAGATCATTTTCTAATTTTTCTAATTCTGCAAAAATCGCGGAAACTACACGACCAACGCGTGAATTCTCACTGCGCCATGTTTGTCTTAAGCTGTCGGCAAAATTATTTTTCGCTGTGTATCACAAAATACGCGGGTGGTTCCCTAATTTCTGAAAGACATTCACTATTTGTTAATTAGTGAATGGTATAAAGCAAACTAGGTCTTAAAAACGTCAGTCATTTACTCGTTTTGTCAGGAAAAATCGCAATTCGTAGATCATGAGACACGACTTTTGTAACCTGAAGCGAATGTCAACAACACAGCTGAGAATATTAAAACACTTCTCGTGCGTCACACGCTTAATTTAGAATATTCGTCTGCGAAAGACATTCATCTGCAACTATCACAAAATGATATGACGCACTTGTCATTTTCAAACAGCGTGTTGTTTTGGCACGAAAAATCGCAAAGCCGGTGTTGGAATCGAAAATCCGGACGGGCATTAAGACCTTAATATAAACAGTTCGTTTAGTCTGACAAAAATTCACAGTGAATCTTCACCAGTTGACTGTAAATTATGCTCAAATTTGAATTATAACAAAAGTAGCCTAACACAAAATTTGCGCAAAAAAGGGCATGGAATCGTTCTATGGAAGAACGATAGGATGCACACGGATTAATTTGTCTCAGATTCATATTTCATGTGGTTTCAGATCTTCATTCAAAAACCGGGTGGGCATCAAAGCCATCAATACAATAACTTTCCCAAACGTTCGTTTAGACTGATATAAACGATGTTTCGTTCGTCTTCACAGTGAATGTTTACTTTATTTATATTTTTCCTGCCAAAACAACAAGTTGTTTGAAAATAACAAGTGCGTCATAAAATTTTATTGATAAGTTGTAGATGAATGTCTTTCGCAGATGAATATTCTAGAGCAAGCGTGTGACGCGCGAGAAGTGTTTATTCTCTCAGCTGGCGATATTGGCATTCGCTTCTTTTCAGTTTACAATGAAAAGACGTTGTCTCGTGTCTACGAGTTATGATTTTTCCTGACAAAACGATAAACGTTTTTAAGACGTAGTTTGCTTTACACCATTTACTACAGTATAGGCTAATAGTGGATGTCTTTCAGAAATTAGGGAACTACACGCGTATTTTGCGATACACAGCGAAAAATAATTAAAACAAAAAGCGTGGGGAAAATTTTGACTGAGCCCACAATGTCATGCATTGACATGCTCAGCGACATGACCATTTTTCTGTGCAATTTCTCGTTGTGGCTAGCAGTGTTGGTAGCCAGATACGGTTTAATTTAATAAAAGAGGGTCTAGATGGGGGAGTCTGAAAATCAGTAAACGGTAAAAATTTTGGTATTTTAACGGTAACAATCAGTAACATTTTGGTATTTTAACGGTAAATCTTTGAAAGGTGTTCTGAAACGATAAACAGTATTTTTTTCCTCAAGATTCACGCTAAATTTTTAGTGTTTTCACGACTGATGGTAGCCGAAATTGAGTGAATCACGATTCACGACTTACGATATACCCCATCAACACCTTCTTTAAAGGGGTTAGGTAAGTCTCGCTCCCCTAATTTTTCGCTGCTCGCGCCTCAACCCCAACTACGCCAGCTATCCATATTTTAAAAATAGCCGTATGGTTGGTGTGATTAGGGCCTGAACTTCAAGTTAGTGAATCACAATACAGGTAGTGACTATAATATTATGTAGCATAATGGCTATAATTCACTTTACTCCATTTCTGTTTTTCTCAGGTATTAAAGCTCGCAAGATACGACACGTTGTGCTGAAGTAACTTTCTAATAGATAGATCTAGATATGTTGTAGTGATAAAACAGCAGAAAATGATTGACTTCATGCGATTCCTATATAAATTAATTGAATTACGTCACAAATATTACAATTACAGAAATACATATAATAATGGCTACATGCATATACGTACAGAATATATAGAGAACAAGTCTACTGTTTGAGTAGAAAAAAAACAGGAGTGTCTGAGACTGAGGAAAATTAAACATAACTTTCATTGAACTGATATCATTGAACCATATTACTCTAGTATGAAGTTAGTTTGTAAGCTAGCAAACTTCAAAGTGATCATGATATTAATAAATTGTACATGTAGAACCTATATGCATGACCTTTTCAATCAGCCCACGTCGTCAGCTCGATACCTCTTGCTACAAATTGAACTGCGTTATTTTGAAATTTATGCGTGGCTAGTGTTAATACATTTAAAATACTCATTAATAATTCATAAACCTTGTGGCAAATCATGTCAGCCATAATATGTCACGTGGAGTGACTTTATATCTGATAAAACACATGTGGCATTATATAATTGTTCATCTTAATTAGCATGATTATACTATGG